CAATAACAAAAACACCTCTACATTATCAACCCTGTGTTCTGTACAAATCCTAAACATAGCCCCATACTACCCACTGTGAAGAAACTTAGTTCTACTTCAGCCCAAACCAGCACAAGCTGCTAGTTAGTTTGCAGGCTGTTTGCTTTATTGACTGTATTTAGGTCTCTGAATGCAGAACATAGTATCTCTGTCAAAGCTGTAGTTCAGCTGGAGTGGGAAGTCCTGGTAACAGCTATATCAACATATGGTTAGTGTGTTTACTTTTGCCAAGTGGATTTGTACAGCCATGCTGTATGATTGCCAGGCTCATGTGCCCCAGAGCACACATAAGGATAAAATGCTCAAGTAGCTCTTTCATCTGCCGTGACTACTCTCACAAGGAGACTGTGGTCAGCTTCTGGAGAGACTGATCTTTCTTTTCCTTCCTTAGAGAACCATGTGGAACATCATTGGATCTGGACTTCCAGCTGCTCTAATGCAGTGCCTGTACCTTTTCTTTACTTTTCCTCTGAAAAAAAACAGTGATGATGGAGAGACAAGTGAGGATGACACCCAAACTCAGGAAATGCTTGTTGAGGTAAGATGTGCCTCTGGGAGATCCTTTGCCCTGGGTACTCAGACGTTCACTCAGGCTTTTAGCTGGTGATTGATTCAAACTGCCACAAAAATAAGTGAATTTGGACTGAAAATCACTGAACAAACATGAGGCACAGTATAAAACAACCTGAGATGATGCCACTTTTTAGCATTTTTGTTCTTGTTGCTAAACAAAACAACATGACTTTAAGTGGGGAAAAAAATCTATTAAGAGCATCCTAGTGGTAGTTTTACTTGTTCATTTCACTGCATCCTTTCTCCTGACATTAGTATCAAATTTACAATCCCCTCCCGCGATGGATTTTTCTTCATCTCCTGGATATTTGTAGTGGTGTTTATTGTAGCTGAAGTTTGTTTGCTTTTCAGATAATGCTTAACATGTACAAGGAGGAACAAGGTGTAGAGGAACTTCTGGCAGCTGATAAGCTTCAGTCATTAATTATAGCAACTGCTTCCCTCTGGGACCAGTGTAACCACTCGTGGAAAGTACCTACAGGCCGTGTGCTGAGAGCAATTTCAAAGTCTCAGACCAAAAACAGCATTGTTTATCTACAAGGTTTGTTTGGTAATTTGTCTTCTCCTTTCCTCATAGCTCCACTGAGAATTAATTCTCAAAAGGAGTCTCCTTAGGATAAATTTATATCTCTACATCATCTGATAGTCAACTGCAAAGCATGGGCTCTTGGCTTTGTAGACAGGAGCTTTATTTAGCACTGATAGCCATCTGGAAACTGAAGGGGTTTTTTACACAAAAAGTAAAATTACAGGCAGAAACCAATCCCATTTGATCACACTGATGTAGGCAAGGGCAAGATGTATTATGTTTTTTCGTAAGTTGTGTGACTCAGTCTGTGAGCCTGAGACTCTTGAAGACTAAATACAAGGCTGGAGGCACTGCCAGAGGAATGGCATCTTGTGGGACAATATCATGATTGGTTGATTTACATCCTCATTTCTTCCTAAGCTTTATTAGTGTAAGCAGTTTTTTTGTTTTTAAGAAGTGCAAAAGCCATGAATCTCAATTTCTAAGAAGGGAAAAAATAGTTTTATAATGCACAGTTTACTGTCAGTATTCCTTGTCATGGAGTAACTGCATATAGGTATTTTTATTTCTAAAAATAAAAAATTGGCTTCCTGGGTGAGATTAAAAGAATTGTTTAGATATTTTGAAGCTGTCCTGGAAGGACTGGCCATCAGATTAGGCAAGAAAACTAGATTCAGAGCAAAATGCTTGTACCCCATTGCGTATGCCTCATCGAGCAAAGAATTAATCTGTGAACTCTGCACAGAATGTGTGGTTGATTTAGTACAAGACAACTAAATTTGTTAGCCTCTGCTTACCTTGTTCTCAGACAGTTGGATTCACTATATATGAATTTTGGGGAGTGGGTGGGTTGGAGGCTTATACTCCTGAGACCTGATCAGCTTCTGAGGGTTAAGCAAAAAAAGGCATTCATACTGTAAAGCCATCAATGTTCTTCCTGTAGCTTCTGAAATGAGTGTGATATTCACATATCTTCTTGTCTTTTCCTTCTAGAAAAAGAGCTAACTGACTTCTGTTTTAATGGGAAATAACTTTTCAAACTTGTTTCATTTTTGTTATAACTTCGTACTTGTCTGACTGTCAGTTCTTAAATACCTGCTTTTTTTCTCCCCCACAGCTGTGGACTGCATTAAAATAGCTGTTCAGAATCTCTTTAAACTGGCTGATACTCTACCTGCTTGTGACATGTGTGAAGCTGCTAGTATTGTCTTGTGCTTTGTGAAAGATTCCTATCCTATATCATCAGCTTTATTAACAGAGTTTGAAAATAATGATGGCTACCAACTCCTGCTAAAAATTCTACTTGGGTAAGTAGAGAGGTTTTTAGTAGACTTCTAGAGGATGGTACAACTTCATTTTCAGAATGCATGGTGGTCTGTTTTAAAATAGGAATCACATTGGTAATCCTGTGTGGATGCAAAGCCAGTAATAAAGACCCTGATATTGAGTCTTTTGCTGCTGTTTTAGGAAGGGAAGTAGTACATAACTTTCTCTGCTGAAATCATAACAGAAGGAGAACAGTAGAAGAAGTTAGTCTGCTGGAGGGATAGTCACTTTCTTGACACGAGACAAAGGTTCTTCATCAATTAATATTAAGGGGATGTAGGTTGGAAACATTTGTCTCAGTTAAGGTGAATTCTTGATCCAGGAATGCAGTGTGCTAGGGAGGAAAACACTATCTTATCGCTGCACAGCAAACAAGCAAACAAAATCCACCCAAACTTCTATCTGAAATGGTTGCATTCCCCAGAACAGACATGAGCATGAACATATCAGGACAACTCCCTACTAGTTATGCTAGTCCAGTGTACAAAGCAGAATCTGTTACTCTCCTTGTCAGCTTGTGTTGTCAAACCAGGCTCTGAGTGCAGTGTCAAAACAGTACAATATGCCACTTCCCTAGAAACACTTAGGGGCTTTGTTCTGCTTTTCTTTAATATATGTTTGAAGAAAGCATTTCCAGATTTTTGTGTTTCCATTCTGGTTTTGCCTATTCTTGTACTACTTCTCCAACACTTGTGAGAATTTTTGTCCTGATGAAAGACTGGGAGGGCTGAATATTTTGTAATTTGGACCTAGAGGATTGTAATTTGAATCATGAACTCATAGATTGAGTTCTGTCAGTGAGTGTGATTTCTGATGATTTTTGAATGGCACAAATTAACTTCTGATTGGAAAAAAGTTTTGCCTTTTTCTGGCAGTGTTTTCTTTAGTCGTCGTATAATGTCTAGCTTTCCCATATAAATAGGCTATGAGATGCATATTTCTGATTAAATTCTAGCCATACAAGGTCGGAACACATGATCTTTTGCAATAAGGGCTACAAATGCCCCCATCCTTTTTAACTGATGTAACTAGGCTGGAGTGACAGAAATAGCATACAGGTGCTCAGGGCTTCAGGTTAGTGTCTGTTCTCAGCACATACTGGCAGAAAGGGACCGACAGCTTCTTTCCAGAATGTTTTGTGTGACCAGGTTTCCTCTTCTCTGGTTCTTGGAATTTCTTTTTCAGGTAAAAGGAATCTTGCTGATCACACTCATTCTTTCAAAGAGAGCATTTTCTCTCTTGTTCTTGCTTAGATGAAATCAGAACATTTTGGTTTGTTTTCTTATGAGATTTTTCTAACTTGCAATATCAGTCTATCATTCTGCCACTAACCCATGCCCAGGTGTTGCAGTTTACTTTAAGAATTGACACATCTAAGCAGTACAGAACATGATGGCATGATAAGCAACTCTCTGTCCTTTGACAGACTCTCATTTTAGTCTATGAACATTGGCAAATCTGGGATTGCGGTTCAAATTATTTCCTTATGTAGGAGAGACATACCATCTTCACATCTGATTCACAAAGCTCAGGCAATACAATATTTTTCCCTTCCTCAGAGCTGAGATTTTTCTGTTAATTATCTCAGTTAGCAAGTTCCTTATCTTGCCAACCATATGCCCTTTTAATATCAAGTGTCTGTTTTAACTTTCTGAACTCTCCCAAATGTAAATTTTTGTTTCTTAAAACAGATATATTTTGGAGAGAATTACTTTTTTAAGGACACATAACTGGACTAAATTCCAACATTTATCTTCCTTTTTTTTCAGAACTCTTAGTGTCATTTCAGTTTACTTCAGTCTGTAACTTCTGTTCTGATTCACAATATTGCACCATAGTGTGCACTTACTGTATGTAGCTCCTATATGCTCAGTACCTGATGATATATCCAAAATGTTTGTGTTACTAAGGCATGAACATCTGACTGTCCCAAGTTTTGTTCGTAGATGTGAGGGGGTGCATCCAGATGAAGGAGACCCCTATCTGGATGAGATCCTGGACATGCTGACTTGCCTTACGACCTGTGGAAAAACTGAACTGAAAGTTTCTGGCAATATTGTGCACCCGCAATTGCCACACTTTGATTTTGAACAGACACGATCTTCTGGTACAGTATACATACACATGTGGCTATGTGGGCAGGGCATAGAAAAATGAAGCTCTATTCATTATGTGTCTTGATGTGGAGGAAGCAGTATGAGATGGCACCTTCTGATCTATGTGTTTAATGCTGCAGGAGTCTGAATGCTACCTACATCAAACTGAACTGACCATGTCAGCTGTAGAGTCTGATCCAAGGTCAAGAATATGCCTCCCAATCACATCTCTCCTGTCTGTCACTCTTATTTCCACTCTCAGACATGACTTAACATTATAGGTATGGTGCTTGCAGACTCAAATAGCATTGATGTAAAAATGATTTCACCTGTTTTTATCCCACAGGAATGACAGTGAAAAACCTCCAGGCTTTTCAGGTGTTGCAGTCCATTTTCCAGAAAAGCAATGACCAACACCTGTGTGGAAGAATCTTGGCAGCAATTGGTACCATATGGGCATGGGACAGAGTGAACTTTTTTCTTCTGGAATGGACACTGCAACCTATCAACCAATTTACTGACATAATCCATTTCAAACCACACCTAGTCCAAGTCGAGTTCTTCAGGCTGGTGGAGTCCATAGTTCTAGACCTGTCCTACATCCCCCATGAAATTTTGAAAAAGGTTCAGTATTTGATCAGGGAAAACACAGTGCCATTCTGCACCTTAACAGCTCTCCAGTGCCTTCTCAGCATGACCCAGAAGGACCTGTTATTCAGTGACATATTCCGTGACTCTGGGCTCTTTGGCCTACTGCTGGCACTTTTGAGGAAGCAAGCCAAGATCCTGAGGAAGTCAGGTACAACTTAATGCCTTTCACAATGACTGTTGAAGGCAGATCAATAGGAATGAATGAATCCCTTTCTACAGGAAATTTATAAATTTTATGTACTGAGTAGCTAGATTTTGTCTGCAAGACAAGTGGCCTGAATTTATGACACATTAAGCTGGGTCCTCTCTGAAATCTTTATTGTTCTGTTCCCTAGCCTAAACAGTTCTGGGCTATTCTTCCACTAGTGTATGATGAATTATTCTGGATGGTACCCTTCCACCCACATGTTTAAACAGGTCTTAATTTGATGTTCCCTAGGATGCCAGCTTGAGATTGGAGCAAGAAAATGCTTTCCACAATGCTTAGTTCCTCTGAAAACAACACTTAATCCTGAGAACTGATGATGGAAAGCAATTTATTGAATTGTGGCTGTATATTACCCACAATTACTACCACCCATTGTGATGTGATACAGTTATCTCCTAGTATAAACACAGGAAAGTATTAGTCTTAGTGTGGTAACTGTGGGGTACAGCTGACTTAGGAGACAGACTCACATAGTTAAAAATTTATAACTGGTGTTTTAAAGAAAGAAAAATGCATGATAGCATTTTCTGTTCTATATGAATTGGGAAATGCCTTTAATTTTCAGTACAATAGTCACTTAGGAAAGGAGGAGACCCAAAGTACTAGGTATAACTTCTGATGCAGCAAGTACAGTTGAATTATTTATACCCATTTATTCCAAGCAACAGAAGGAATATGAATTGCAACAGAAGTTTTGGAGTGGAGACATCCATCACCTGCAAGGACACTATGATTTGCATTCTTGATATCAGAGACCTAGAGTCTTATATAAGAGTGCTTAGATAAGGATTGTCAAGATAAGTACTAAGGTTCTTGAAAACTTACCTTCTGGTTATGAGCTGGTGCACAAAGGCTTTCTGCTGTCTTTGCTTTAATTTCACTGCTTTATATCACTTGGTGATCTAAATTTTACAGAGTCATTGATGGCTATGTAATTTGTAAATTTAGACACACAGGTGAAGAGGGACAGGTGAGAAGACATTATCTCTACTCCCCTCTCTTGGTTTCCAGAAATTTAGCCTGCAAACATCAAGACTTTTAGATCTTAAAATAACATACCTTACACTGTCTGATCCTATTTGCCTTTGAACATGCAGGATATTTCTGCTCTTGACTTTTAGTTTAGGTATTTAAATACTCCCTGTTGCTATAATATTTTATCACTTCACAGCTCATAATCTGTAATGTTTTTATTTGTGTGTGTTCCTACCAGGTATTGCTAAACAGGTAACTTTTCATCAGTTGGGAACTGAAAATACCACTATTTGCAGTAGTTATGCAGGAGTTATGGGCTGCAGAGCACAAAATCAGACCTGTGTTTCCCAATACCAGTTTAAAGCCTGGTGATTAGACAACACCCTGTCTGTATTTTGTTGCTTGAATTAGGTTTCAAGTAGCTTGTAAGTAATATTTAAGAGAAAGCTAAAATTTGCTGGAGAACTGTTTTTCCATTTTGGTTTAATGTATTTTAGGCAGTTATCCATGTTCTTGTACACTGTATTATGGGTTTTCTTATACTGACAGCTGGAACTCATCTGTCTGGTCTGGAAGAAGGCACTGAGAAGGAATTAAATGCTGTGATGCTGAAGATGGTGGCTGCCCTTACAGTGAGGTCTGTGAGGAACACAGGTAAGAAAAGATATATGACTGTATTACCTTTGTGATATTTAGTGGTGAGTGGCCATGATGCCTCTTAAGGATCAACAACAAATTTTCTGACTTTTGTGCTTCAGCCAAAAGTGGAGGACAAAAACTAGAAGTGTAGGAATAACAAAGTTACACTAGGAAGAAATGTGACCAAGATATTCTCATCCTGCATAATGGTCTTTTTTCCAGTAGTCACCTTATTTCCCTCATCCATGTGGATACTCCTGAAGTACTTACATAGAATACACAGACTTAGCTTGTGGAAAGCAAGAGTGTGGCATGGATTTTGTGCATTGCTTCTTTATCCAGATTTTCTTCCATCCATGTGATCTGTTATTTGAAATCTAGATTGGATCAGATGCATGCTGAGTAACACTCCTACATTTGTGCTGGCATACCTAAGAGGTCTGTGCGTAAGGAATCTTGGGGACCAGAGTAATACAGAAGTGAAGTCTGAATACTGAAATCCACACAATTCACTCTGTAATCCTAGAATCGTCATGTTCGCAGCATCTTACACAGTGTAAATATATTGTCAGAAGCCATCAAAAAGTTCCCTTCCTAAATTAGATGTCTAAGCTGAAAACTAATAAACTGTCTTTTCATTCATTTTTGTATTGGGAAACTGTCATCTCTGATGACTGGAAACAATGGTCATCCCATCATTTTATCACTAGTTGTTCTTTTGCCATTCAGTTTGTGTCATCTTTAGCTTAACCAGCTGCTCTTCTTCCCTCTCCTGCTGTATTTGTAGAAAGGTGGCACTTCACACCAACACTGAAAATCTGCCTGTGAAAACCACAAGCAAAGAATAGTTTATGTAACAAATGCTACTGTATTTGTCCCTAGTTGTTCTGAAGGACTATGGAATGGTGCCATATATCAAGATTTTTTTGGATGATGAGTGCTACAGGAGTGCTACTCTCAGCATCTTGGAGCAGCTATCAGTCATCAACTATGAAGAATATATGAGCATTATTATTGGGGCCCTCTGTTCTTCTACTCAAGGGGAACTGCATCTGAAACTAGATCTGCTGAAGGTAATTAATGTGGCTCTCACATGGGCATCATTTTCTTGGAATTTTCTTGGCTTTGTGGCAAATTGCACTTAATCTCATCTCAGCACTGTCTTTCTTCCAAGAAGGTAAGTACAGAATTAAAAAGAGCATTGGGCCACCTCTTGATTATGATAAATGGGCACTTTAATTTTTAGTGAAGCATGTGTGGTCAACATTTTCACTCAGTATCAGATTATGAAGTATTTTGAAGACTTAAATAGTAATGCAGGAGGGAGAAACAGAAATGCCAAAGGCACAGTTGTATGAACAGCTCTATGTAATGTGACAGAGAAAGGAGAAATAAAAGTGGAGATGTGGAGACAGGATGTGAGAAGAAGTAAAGCAGTAAGATTGGAAGGGACAGGGTAGGCATGAGATGAGTTGCTTGATTCTGAGAATCAGAAGAAATTCTGAGTTTTGTCATCTTTCACATCCACCAATGTCATGGAAAAAGATGTGAGGTCATGGAAAGGAGGAGTCTTGCAAATGTTTGGAGGATGAAATTAGAACTATTCATAGCCTCTGTTGTATTTACAGAGGGTCTTATCCATAAGCAAGGAAACATGGGAAAGAATCACTGTGCTTTATTTTGATTTAGATCATAGGCATCAAATTGAAAAGCAGCAGTTTTGTAAGCACTGACTTTAAAGTTTCATTCTACCTTCTATGTTGAGTGTGAACAGAATTTGCCTTTCAGCCCAGAATAGCAGCTGCTTCTGTGATAAAAGAACCATGTTACTTTAAAAAACCAAAAATGTGACCAAGTTTATAGTTTTGATTTGAAACAACAAATTTTAACAATATTTGTGGAAAAGTTGAGTATAGTGTTCAAACTAATATGAAAATAAATGCAGCTTTGGTGTCTAATTTTGACAAATGATAACTGTATTAAAGCATAATGTAAGCAAATGAATTTATTATCTTTATCCATTGGGACTGTGATTGTGTTACACACAAATTCAGATTGATTTGCTAATGTATATTTAGCTGTTAAAACCTGAACGCAAATACAATTAGCACTGCCGTATTCCAGCGTGGCACGTGGACAATTATGAGGAATAACAAATAATGGAATGTGTGAAATAAATTCTGTTAACATTAACTGTGTTAGGGGGTTTCCAGCACACATCAGTTTTATAGATTCAAGACAGAGGAATACTAACTCATAGCCGATTAAATTCTAACTGAGTTAGAGCTGGAGGAAATGTGTTTACTGTTGACCTTCTCTGAAATGTGTTAAAGCCATCCTGGTAACTTCAACTCTGAGTTATTAAATTTACTCCCTGTTCAGAAGTCTCTGCCTGGTTTGATATATTATCATACAAAATTGAATGACAGTAATAGAGTTCCCCCTCCCCCTTCAGTTCTGACAACCTTTTCACTGTCCTAGATCCTGTTACAGACAGATGTATTTCTGTTAGAAACTGTTCCTCTCCAGCAGGTTGTGAAGTGAAGCTCTTTCATTGGATATCTGTTGGGAAACTCTAGATGTAAAATTAGCCCTTTCCAATGTGAACAGGTACAGCCTAAAATTTGAAAAGTCCCTAGTGCCTGTAGAAACATCATATTTACAAAATGAATTGTGCAACATCCCCAAAATTTGGGATTTATTACATTCAAATACAGTAGACTGTATCTTTTTCAGTAGACAAGCATCTTTTTCTCATTCATTTTCCTGCCACAGCTCTTAGTAACTTCTAGATGTGTTTTAAAATGGTAAGCCCACAGCATTCAAAACTGATAAGTGGTGCAGCTTATTTTTTATGCATATGCAATATTGTCAAGTGGCATTCAATTATAACCTGCTTTAAGCCCATTGAACTTAGATAAAATCTAATGACTTCATTTTCTTGGGATCTGACCTTTTATGGCTTTTTTTCCACCAAAGCATTGTGCAAACTTTAAAAATACCTCAGTTGAGAAAAGGTATTATTATTGTCTCCTTAACTGGGAGAGCCTGCTGTTTGCAGTATTTTTTGTGCCATTCTGTGTCACTGCTTTTACAGAAAGGGCTTCCTCAGTCATATGAGCAAAAGTCTAGTGTGGCTTCTCATGTATTGAAGGCTGCAGGAAGAGTTTCCTATAGAGATCTGTGCCTTCTTGTCACCTTTTTCTATGAGGGTATTTACAATTGAATCTCTGCTTTTATTTATTTAAGGCAAAGGCAGATTTGTTCAGAGAATCTGAGAATGATGCAAGAATAGTCAAAGATCTGAAACTACTTCTGGCCAAACTGACTAGGATATGTAATGCAGGAAATTTGATCTCTGCTTATTCCTGTGAGCACTATTCCCTAACTGTCAGGCTAACTCCATGGGTTGCTCCTGAGGGTGCATTCAAATCTTGGTTGTTTGACTCATTGTGTCATATGGGGGAAGGGAGGAGGAGAAAAGTTGTACAGGGATGACATTTACTTTGACCAACGTTTTTTGACCTTCTTCAAAGAGTGAAAGAATTTTGGCACAAACTTGGAATTTTAAAATATTCTAAAGCATCTTCATCCCTTGATTTAAGTGCTACTTTGGTTTGCTTTCTTCCCAATGTTTGTAGTCACTCTTGAGGATATTGGAGAGTCCCAAGAGCCATTCAGCTTTCAGAACCTGCAGTGGATTCAATGGACTACTCTCCCTTCTCTCAGACATGGAAGGTGCATTGCAGGACCCTCCATCTGGGCTGTGGACAGCAGTTGGACAGAACCGCATACTGGAGCTTGTTTTCTACACACTTCAGGGGATAACAGCAGCCCTGCATCTAGACCCTGTCAACAGCAACTTCTTCCAGAGGAATGGTCTCTTTGAAAAGATGGCAGAGGATCTTGGATCACTTGGCTGCTTCTGGACAAAAGGGGAATGGCAAATTCCTGTGACCCTTGAGAAGAAAAGGACGTTTGCAGAATTCTTGGATGCAGCTTTCTGTTCTTCAGAACCTTTCCCAATGTGGCTAAAGAACTGCATATGGATTTTGAATTTTCTTGATCACATGGTCAAAGGAACCCTCCACCAGGAGAGCTGCTTCAAGGAGAGCAAGCCAGAGATGGGCAAAGCATCAAGAGATGATCAGGAGGGACCTCAAGCTCAAGAAGAGCATCCCGTTGCTTTCAAATGTCCAGGCAACAAATTACCTGCCTCTGCCTACAGGCTATGGGGAAACCCTGAAGAGAAGTAAGTTTTTATTTGCTCCGGGAAAAATAGTATTAAGACTGGTATGTGCATTTTATATGGTAGTAAACTGAGGTAAGATGTGACATAATCTGCCAAGAAGAAAAAAATCTGTGTCACAGTCCCAACTCCCAAGCCTCCAGGCAGCAGAGATAACTCTTTTGGAAAGGTAAATGATGGTAAACATTGGGGCATAAGGGTTTAGTGGAGCAGTGGGAGACACAACTCCAAGCGTAGCAGAGTTTGAGCTGAAAGTTCTGACACCTACAATGTGGGAGCAGGAAGGGCTCTAAGGACAGGTTTACTGGAACCTGAAGCTTGAGCTTAGTTTCTGCTTGAATTTACCCTGATCAGTATTGTTTTTATCAATTATGTGGAAAGCTGCTTCCATTCACCTGATATGTCAAAAAACCATTATTTTAAATGCTCCCTTGTGCATGTGTATCCAAGTACATGTGTGCAGACACACTTATAATTTACAGATGCTGAAATAGAGAAAATTGAAAATCAAAGAGTACTGCTGGTTGCCCCATAGAATGAAGGCTTATATCAAAATATATAGCATTTGCAGGAAGGGAAGGCTGTACCAGAAATCAATGTAGCTGTCAGCTATGAATCAGTTCTGAGCAACTTGCATTTTGTAATTTGTGAGATCCTCTGTCCCTTCATTTGTCTGTAGCTTTATATTGAAATCTCTCAAATCAAAAATTTTATCAAAAATGTTTCTGATTGCAGTTATTGCTTAAAAAGGCTAAGTTGATAACTGTGAGATTTCCTCAGCCCTTATTGCAGGTTACTCCACAGTCATCTCCCATGTTTAAAGTCTAAGTCATTAGGCCTGCCACTTGTAGCAGCAGTCACTGAAATCAGCAGAACTTTTGTTCCCTGAGTACTGAAGCAGGCTGAGCATGGTTATATTTGTACTTGTTTGAAGTAACTAAAAAATGTGCAGTAGATTTCTTTACTCCTTGTGCAATGGACTGTAAAGTAGTCATGGAGATGTTTGCTCCCTGTCACCACTCTCTGAATTACACTGGAAGCTTCTAGTTAGATACTCAGTGCTGAGGAGAGGACTTGGTAGCTCAGGAGGAATGAATGCTTTTTTCAACTTAGATTTTCCTAGCCCAGTTTGGGAGAACAGGGGTCAGTGTGCAGAGAGTGTATAGATGGTGGTAGTTATGAGAAGTACATAGTCTGTTGCTTAAGTGTGTGTATAATGGGTTCCCAGGGATGACAAGGGAGAAAGAGCAGATCAGTGGCAATGCTATGAAGGATATGACTCTGTCTTCTGATCATCTTTCTCAAGTCACTACATCTGAAACATAAAGCAAAGCTTCCTAGGTCCTTGTGTTGTTTTGCATGCTGAGCTGTGAAGCTATGCAGTAACTGAATACCACTTATGGGGAAATGAATCCTGTAAATTGGGATCCATTCAGTTCACAGCATCTGGTTCGGGATGATTTGCCTTTGGTTCTGGGATGTGAAGGCCCCAAAGTAGGCCAGATTAGCTCAAGATGGCTGGAGACCATCCATGACAAATGTATGCAAGGACAGCAGAGGAACATGAACTGGAAAGCTGTCAGTCTTCAGGCCACACAGCTTGTATCCTTTTCTAGCAGTAAATGTTATGAAAATAAAAATAAGAAATTGAGTTCACAGTTTCTGCAAGCCTGTAGTTCCCCTGATGCAGCTTCCTCTAAGCTGTACTCCACGTTCACACTTCCCCCTGAAGAAGGCTTCAGCCTGCAGCTATGTAGCTTGAAAGGAGGAACTTCAGTGCAGTTAGCGTAGGTGGCCTGTGATGCCCCATCCTGCAGCATGTGTTTAGCATCCCCAAAGAAGGGGAAAGGAGGTAATCCTACAGGCACCTGTGACTGAGACATAGGAAAGTTAGCATTTTAATGCTGGATATTGTTCTAGCCCCTTACATTGTCCTGTGGTCAATGGTGCTGCAAGCTTGTGAGCCACAGATTAATTGACCCTGTCATTCCTATCTGAAAAACATCCCTCAGTGTTTCTGCTACTGCAGTAATGTTTGAAACACCTTCTGTGACAGATGGAGTCTCTGGTTTTTCTTCTGCTCCTGGTGACCTCTCCCAGGGAGGGAAGCCTCTCTTCGTGCCCACCCTAGCAGAATGGCTGCTGCACCTGCTGTTACCACTGACTCACTGTGCTAATGGCTCTTCAGGTTCTTTGTGACATCTCATTTTGTCCCCAGATCCTCTTACTTGTCTTATTTTTAAGGAGCAGCCAGTCCAGAGCAGATTTGTGATTGACACCCCAACACTGGTGAGGTAGTGGGAGTGGTATTGTGTGGCTGACTGGATAGCCCTGAGGCAGGAGTGTGAGGGATGCAATATTGGCAGGAGTGATGAGTTGGTATGGGAGGACAGCGTTTGTTCTAAGGCAGGCCGTAAAACGAGGACCTCTTGGAAAACCACAGAGATGGCTGGAGATAAAACTTATATAACATTCCTAGAGACCCTTCACCAGCATTGTTGCCCTCCTCTGGACGTGCTTCAGCACTTCAATGTCTTTCTTGTAGTGAGGTGCTCAGAACTGGACACACTACTCATGATACAGCCTCACCAGTGCTGTGTACAGGGGGACAATCACTGCCCTGGTCCTGATGGCCATGCTATTTTTGATAGGTGCCATTGGGTCTCTTGGCCACCTGTGCCACACCTGGTCTGGCTGATGTTGACCAGCACCCTAAGGTTGTTTCCCACCAGGCAGCTTTCCAGTCGTAATTTCAATCCTATGGATTTTAGCGAGCCTGGATTTTTCTCTTTAAAAATGGTTAGGGCTTTTGGGAGGAGACGAGCAAAGAGTGTATTTTCAGTGCATACTCTTTTCTTGTTTGACATTTAAAAATCCACCCACCTTTGTGTCAAGTACAGGTCTGCGTATCCACACTGCAATCCCTGCTGCAGTAACTCTTTATACCAGACCTGATTTTGATTCATTGCACAGAAAATATTGCAAATGAGCAATTTATTTGAAGGTATCTTTCTTGATGGTGCAGTAAGAATTATTTGTCACTGTGTGGCAGTGTGCTACACATTACTCGCTGCTCTGATGTGTCAGGTGAACCTTTTTCGAAGTGGCTAACAGCACTTTGCAGCTTTTTTGCCTTCCTTTAGGTACCTATTTTTTTATGATGCTCACTCTTTTACTTGTACCCTTTGTTTTATACAATCCATAAAACATATTGTGCTTTATTTTGTCAGGCTAATAACAGCTGTTAGATGTTTCCTTTGCTTTTCTTGTGAAATCATTTTGGGACAGATGTTTCTGACTGTGCACATTAAAAATCTAGTTCAGAGGTGCACCCAGAAATGCCAATGATACACCAAACAGGATAAGCCTGCAGTGCCTGAACTGGAGTTACTGCAATGCTGTGTGTTCATCTTTGAGATATATCTGACCTCAAGCCTGCATCATGGCATAAGCGGATCTCTGTGGTGACTCTGATGCTTCAACTCCTTCCTGTGCCTGAACATACAATGGTGATACATGTCAAAAATGGAAGCTGGTGGGGAAGCACAGATATTCAACTTTCTTTTACTAGTTTAGGCAGATCCTGGTGTTGGAAGGGAAGGGTGACATATTGATTTCATCATGACTGTCTCTTCTTTGCTTATTTCTATGTTTTGAAGTACTGAAGTTACTGTCTAACCAAAGTTACCAACTGCTAGAAAATAGAAAGAATGACACTAGTTCTGCACTGATGCATCAATGAATCATCTGGTTATCTGTTCTCTGTACTGCAAGTACCTTCAAAGGCAAAGTGCTTAAAGAGGCTGCCACACATCTTTGAACGTGCAGGTCCCCGAGATGTGAGCACATGAGCAGGTTATGTCCTGTCTTTGTTACTCTAAGGAGGCTTCCAGCTGTTCCAGGTGATTTGTATTGTTTGCTTAGTTTCAAGTGCTGAGCCTGGTTACTGCTAGGAGGATTTAATGCTGTACTCTGCTGCAACATCGTTGGACCCTCTTTTCTGTTGTTAATGATAATGATGATAATGTGTCTTTTTGCTGCAGGTTGGAAATGAGAGACTGTACCATTGTACACCCAGGTGCTGTCTGTGTTATGGTGAGGTTGCTGCCAAAGCTGTACAAAGAAGGACATGCTCAGGTGAGTCTGAACATGTCAAAGTGACATCTAAACAGTGTCTTCTACTTTTCTGTAGCTTCGTTTCTGGAAATGCTTTACTCTTTGCAATGTGGTACTGCTAAAATTTACATAGAACAGTAGCAGGAGGAACAGCACCAATGTCACCGAGTCAGCAGATGTAAGAACAACAAAGGCTTTTGGTTATCATTTTGGCTGAGTGTTTCTATGCCTGTCTGATACAGTACATGCATTTTAGTCCCAGAATACTTACTGCAAAGGCACAGTGTAGAAGTCCCTTGGAAATTGTTCAAAGTATTGCTAATGGACCTAGCAACCAGAACAGCCTGGCCCTTCACAACTAATGGTCCATAAACTTTCAATGCAGCTTAGAATCTGCTTTGTTTGTCAAACCTTCCATATACACACCCATTCTGAATAAGCATATTGCATGTATTGTATCTGCTATTTGGTCTAAAATACTTAAATGCTGTTAAAGAGGGATTGAAATAAAACCAGATTGTTCATCCAGAGCTATGGAAGGTGGTAGTGCAGATAACTGATGGCACATCCCAACTCTGTGTAGTGGAACCAAGCTATCAGCTAGTGAGATTTTGTTAATTGCAGTAATTAATTTCTGAAAAACAGGTAGAACAGTTAATTGGTCGAGAGTGTCATCAAGAAATGAAGAGTTGCCTCTAGGACTTGAGCTCTGTAAGAGAGAAAGCCTCTCAGTCCCTCAGTAGATGGCAGTGTTCTTAAAAATATGAAGGACCAGAGCACAGATTCCAGCAATTTCAGTTATATATTTAAATACATTCATCTTTTCTTCCTTTCTCACTCCTTTTTACTTAGTCAATAAGAAATTATTCCTGATAGTGTTTGTTTAGTATATCTGTTTTGTATGGGATTATCTGAGGTAAAACAGGACCACTGTTATGTGAGGTCCTGAGTCAGATTCCAGCTAGGAGTTAACACATGTCCTGAAAGGTTTTTCATCAAATAACCCACAAAAAGGGCAGAAGAAAATGAAAATTTCCCTGTCTATTTCTATTTAAAAGTGGGTGAGAGATTGAATGGAAGATGTCAGTGCTTGGGAAGCTCACTGATGCTGCCAGGTAGAGACCTAAAATGCTGGACTTTAGTACCTTTAATCATAACATGATTAAATGGTTCACTGCATGAACCCTTGTGCAATGGGATGCTACTTTGAACATGGGAGTCAGGCAAGATTTGATGCAAAAGATGGACCACAATGGCTAGTGAAGGGGAGCTACTTGGTAGAAGGAAAATAACTGAAGGAATTACTCTTTGGATAGATGTATTCTGTCCCAAACTATATACTATTTGGGTTTTTTTATGCAACAGTGTTTGAAAGCTATATGAGAGATGAAATAATGGCTTTGTGGATGAAGCTTTTTCACTGCAGACATTCATGACAAAATCTGAAGGGACTTCTTGCACTGAGTTTAAGACAGAGTCAAAAAGTACATTTTTTTTGGAGCAGTGGTGGAGAAGAGGCAGTAACTCATCTCTTTCTACTTATTTTAGTGATGTGATGGATATCTTAGGCCTGGGTGTCCAGGAGTAATCTTGAAAAAATGTTCAAAATCAGTTCAGGTCATGTGCAATTCCTTTGCTTTCACAGAACTGGCAATGAGAAAGCAGTGCTTTTACAGAAACATTAATGGAACTCAATAAAATTAATGTACTTTGATTCTGACCCTCAGAGTTAATATCCATTTCCTGCCAATTTTGCAACTTCTCAGCGGCCTTTGTCAGACCCATACAGTGATGGGCTGAAGTTGAGCCTGTCAGCATAGGTAAAACAGTAGCAGACAGTAAAACATGTGATTTTGCACTTCAGATGTTTCTTCTGACTGTCTAGAATGGCTATTAAAGGCTGAGGAGAACAGGTTTGTGGATGAATATTACTGCCATTCCTAGGTATGATAAAAAAGTCATTTGAATGTCGTATGACTATGAAAATTTGCTTAAAACTTTAAAATCCCCCAAGAGTGTTTGAGTCAGTAAACTGTATTTAGAGGACATCACTCATGTTCATGCTTAGGACTGGTACAAAGACAGTTTCCATCAGACTGCATAATGTTTGACCAAATACAAGGCAGATTTTCCTTTTATTGAGATGCTGCTGTTCACTGATAAAAGACACCATAGCATATGTTTCAAAAGTACAATGAGACAGGTTAGCATCCACTTTAGATATGTGGCCACAGGGTTTTTTCTACCTTAAAAAGAAGGAAGTTTCCTATCAGACACATCTCATCCTTGCCTGGCATTTTGGAACTGTGGTTTTAAGACTCCAGAGAGTCATCCCACGTGCTATGTCAGATCTCCTAGACCTGACAAGAGAAAAGAGAGAACTTTTAAGAAGAGAATCAAAGCATGATTCTGTTCTGTGTCATCATTCTGGCAGGTTTCTTGTGAGTACAGACAAAAAAAAATCCTCATGTGATTCACTGCGTAAATTATCTAAGCTTTTGTTAAATAATATTATTTCTTCCACAGCTGTATTTGTCCTCTGTTTTCATCTGTGTCTCTCCTATGATGAATTGCTGTCATATTGACTGTTGTGAAAGCAAAACATTGTCCATCAATAAGGATTTTGCACCTTTTAAAAAGACCTTTATCCTTCATTTAAATTTAGCCTTAACTCCTTTTTCTTAATGTGAATGTTAACAGGAGAACATTTTCAAGTATTCATATCTCTGAAATATGTAAATTATTTCTAACAGAAAAGGTCTCTGACTTAGAAGACTGTGTGACATTTCAGATTTGTCTGCCTTTAGACTTACATTACTGACACCACTGCTAATGTAACTGTTAATGTCAGAGTGAATTCCTGAATTACTGCACTGCATTATCTCTGCAAGGAAAATCTTCAGGTATTTGGCCAGAGCTTCATTCGCCTTTGAATTGTGCAGCTAAGGCTTTGGGATAAAGAAATGGAGAATGCACGAGAACCCTGGTGGGAGGAAGGAGACTATAAACACTGTCAGTGGGTCCTCCAGCCTGGGCTGGTAGCTGAAGGTCAACCTGTTCCCCTGGGCACTTCTCTGCAGACTTTGCTTCAGCTGTGTCTCCTGGGGGATTTTTCTTTGCTGAGCCTGATTACAGCACAATTTTTAAAAAACTTTTTCATAAAGAAAATGCACAGCCTGTCTGGATGTTCTTTTCCAAGGTTATTTTTGGGCTTTTAGTAATAGGTTTGCTTGTTCATTGATCAACCAAGCTTTCACTGTTTATACAAACCAAGCAGTTTCCTTCCTGTGCTTCCAACCCCCCATTTGTCCTGTTTCTCTTGCTATTTGCTCTCTTCTTAAAAAGCAGCCAGTGTCTCTAAAGTTTCAGTAAAATCTTGGTAATGTACCCTGGATTGAAGAGATAGAAACTCTGCCAACAGTCCCTGGCTTAACTACACTGAAGATAATTTTCTACTTCGTCCTCTTTTTCATGCAGTCGTATCATTTATAAGGTGTCACACAGAGACAGCTTTGTCTACCTTTCAGATGTCTGTTGAACATCATATTATAGCACTGCAGAGTAGCTTAGAAAAATAAGAAGGAGGCACTGCATTAAGCTAATACCATGGGGGAAAATATAGTGCAAATAAAAGTAGTTGAGTGAGCCAGAGATCTGTAAGACCACCAGAATTGACAAAAGGATTCTTAACGTTAAGATGAGATTTTGTTGCCTGGGTTCAAATGATCAAGGCTTGCTAACACCTTTCCTCTAGAAGGCAATAGTAACCCTGGTATTTATATAAGTGAAGATCTGTACCTTCTCTTACACACATACTGTACCAATGGGAAATGTGAAAAGTCTGATGGAGATGTTATGATTTATGTGGGACATTTAACTATTCCTTGTCTGGTTCATGTTTTTGGAAGCATCAAAACAGTTCACATAGTTTGTATTGCTTTTTTCTCTTGCCTATTTTTTAAGGAGTGCATGAACATGAGTTATTCTGTAACTTTGTGAAAAACAGTTCTACATACTGTCAGCAGAGTAAGTTTTTCTTGTTAAGGTCAATGGGTGAAAGTTATTCATCAAAATATTATGAAAGAATGGGAACCTGCTTGCAGCTGAGCTCATCAGTAATATGAGCTGTGATAAATTTATGAATTTTTAAATGACATTTTAGGGAGAAAAATGCACAGATGATTTTAAGAAGTGACTCAGATTCTCTAGAGACATTTGTTTTTAAGCTGATGGATTTTCTTTTGAAAGCATGATTTAAAATCCTGGATCACTTGTAACTTTTTGAAAGCTCTTCTTCCAATGCCTTGATTTCTTCATTAGTGAAACTAAATCCGTGATATGTTAGGAAGTTAATTCTAACTTTCTGTGAAGGGTTGCTAGCTTTTCAAGTGAGTGGTGCTCTGAGACTGAAAAGGAACTTTGCTTTTTGCAACTGCACACAGAATTATTGTTGTATCATTCTTAAATCTAAGGAAATTACATCCTTTTGAAGTAAGTGCACACTGTCAAAAGTTCATCATTTTTGCTTGTCTTGAACATAGCATAATCATCTTGAGGATGTATAACAGTGAATTAAATTGAGCTACCAAGTTGTGAAACTATGGGCTCCTAGGAGCAAGAGTCTGGGAAGTACTTAAGCAGGTTGGGCTAATTGCTGGGTGACATTTTGCCTTTAACACTCTAATTTGAAACAGAGCTGTGAGCTCAACTACATCTAACTGCACCTTCAATATCCTGATTCATGCTCCAAGTAATATGTGCTAGGAAAATCAATCCATGCTTACAAAAACACACAGCGTGGTTTCCTGGCCACCTTTAATATTTCCACTGAAGTCTCATTTTACTGGAACGAAGATCCATGAAAACAGCACATTTTATTTAAAACAAGGCGATATTGGTATTGACAAAGCTGCTAAGCTAATGAAAATAATCAATTTTTTTGTGTATGCCATTATGCTTTTATTGGATTTATTTTGGAGTAAACCAGTTGTTTCACTTAGTCAGGACCTACGTTGTTCTCTGTTTAGCTGAAGTTTTACACATTTTGATGCTTTCCTGAATGTAGTCAGAAATGGAGTAAAATATTCATTAAAAGATCCAAGAAGTTATAAGTGAGGCTTTGAAACACTGTAGCAATAAGTGCCTCTCCAAAAAATACTGTATTTCAGGCTGGTGGATGCTTTCTGTGTATAATGAGATGCACGGTGAAACTTGTGTCCCTGAAAATGAATAGTCCTTCAGAGACAAGAAAATGCTATCCAAAGAATTCACCCTTCAGATATGAAAAATAGCAGTTGAGTTTGCCAAAACAATATGTATTTGTTGTATTGGATGTGTCAGTATTATTATCTGAGCGTTGCAGTCGGGGACACTTTGGAAACAGATTGGCTTTGAAATTCTCCTGTACTGGTTTTGTTTGGTTGGATGCAAAAGAGCTGAATTCCTCTTTACACTTAATAAGCAAGCTTATTCTGAATCCCCTTGCTTCTCATTCATGTTATCAAATCAAATCCCAATGCCCTAATTTGTGCGTCTGCCACCATTGTTGTCCTTTTCTCTAAAAGTTTGCATTTATGTTTCCTAGAAGAGTGTGTGAGAAAGCTGGAGAGCTCTTGGGAGTATGGAACAATTCATCTTTCTAAGATTTGTGTTTAAATATATGATTCAGTTACTTTTGTGTGAAATCTTATTAGGTCAATGGGGTATAATCCATTCCTAACTGGGAACAAATTGCTCTAGAGATAATTTATGAGAATCAAATGACTTTAAGATCACTAAGAAGCAAAGTAAAGCTTCAGTTCAACAAAACATGCATAGAAGTGTTCATGTAACTGTTTCACGATATTTCTAGATACAGGTTTGTTTAAGAACAGTACTTCTAGAATGAAAAGTAGATCATGTCAATATGACTCTCCACAAGGTTAATGTTAAATGTATTCTGAGTTCCTGTATTGGTCTTGGAGCTTATGCCTAATAACTTGCCTTTGGTGATGGTCCCTTCTTTGGAATGGCAGCTGATTGCTCTCTTCCTTCACCACCATAGTGTTGAGGCAGGAAAGCTGAACTGCAGATGGCCGAGCAGCTGCTCAGATGAATGTATTCACACTGCTTAAGTGCAGAGCTTTGTAGAACAGCCATGCAGTTGCCCTTGAGCTTCTGGCCTAAAGGGACCCAGAGATTTGACAACTGAAAAATAATTAAAAGAAAATAAATCAGTCACCACATACAGTTTTAGTTCCAGCCCTCGGACTTCAGTTCTGTGTCTATTTCAGCTTTCACAGGAAATCCAATGTGCTGTGGTTGATCATATTCAGTCCCTGGTGAAGTCAGAAAAGAGTCGTCAGGTGATGTGTGGATCTGGCTTGCTGAGCACCATCATAACCTCCTGCCAGGATGCCTTCCGCAGTGAGAGCCATCCGCTGCATCTGCCCCTCACCAGGGTGTTTGAGAAGCTTGCGTCACAGGCTATTGAGCCAGATGTGTTAAGGTATCAGATTGTATCTAATGGAATCAATTTGCTTTAGTGCTGCAATATTTTTGGTGAAGTTTATCTAAGAATTATATGCTTCGCATAGTGTTCTAATCCACCAAGATCCAGACTTTTGTTTCAAGTCTCAGTTAATACCACTTTCACATTGGTCACAGAATGTATGCTTACATGACTTGCTGAAGATAGTGTGAGTTGGCAGTGTTCTGCTGCATCGTCTTTGCAGGGGTTGTAAAGCCATTTATGAATGAACTCATTGACTGCAAAACAGCTAGGGTTATTCCCTCCTAGTATTCATATGGAGGAGCTGTTTTCTGAAGAGTAAGTGACTTTCTCTCCTCTCAGATCCTTGTCAATTACAGATGCAGAAATGAAAAGTATAGTCTTGTTTCTCAGTCACTGTTGTTTCTAATTTGGGGATGTACTTTCTTCTTTAATGCTAACAAATGCTAGGCATGAGAGTACCTAACAGATATCAGTGTGCAGATGAAGTTGGATATTCAGTGGAAGATTTTATTTCTTTTACTCAGAAATGGAGCAGAATTTCTTGTTTAAAAATCAAAAAAACAAACCAAAGATTCTTTTTTTCCCTGAAAAATTAGTATTATTCAAAAGTATTGATGAAGAAAAGAAACCTTTGATTTTTTTTCAATAGGAAAACCTTGAAAGGGGAAATGTAAAGCAAACCAAATATTTGTGATGTTCTGATGGAAAATATTTCTTCTGTTTTATTTGGAATGTCTTCAAAATTTGGTCTTCAATAAGAAAGTTGCTCTCCAGAGGGACGAGCTATATTTGCGTGGTTACTGTGATTCCAGAGTGTCTGGCCTCATTTTTTTTTCCTTTTCTTGGTTGCTTTCTTCATGCATTTTCATCTTAGGCAATTTCTTTGGTTGGGAGGTTCTTTGCAACTACCTTCCAGGCCCAGCACAAACAAGACCAAGGTCCTTTCATGTCAGGGGAGTGATTCAGCTAACACAGGTAAGCACACAATTGACAGCCTGTTTCTGGTGCAGTGGTTGAGCTATAGGTGTCCTGGAAATGACAACAGGAATCTGCTGTTGAATAGGTTGCTTCAAGAGAGTCACAGTGAAGGTGGAATATGCATGGAAGTTTTATACTGGGTATTTCCCAGGTTGAGTGGTACTTGAGCAACACTGAGAGCTGATCTGATGACCATCAGGGATCAAGTTATAGTATCTTTGATCAAGTTAGATGCTGATATAGACTCAAACTTTGTTGTATCAGAAATGGAAGTCATATCTAAAATTACTAATCGTGTACTACAAACCAAGGGGAGAGTCTCCTGGGTTTGCGGCACGTTTTTTGTGTGGTTTATAGCTAGACATAGAATTAAGATGTGAATAAAGAGCACTGCTTTTGTAATCCCTAGGATATCCTAGTAGTCTGCCTTGCTTATACAGGCAGTTTTCCATCCAATTCCTTTCTCTTCTCCAATGTATTTTGCAGGTGAAAAGCTACAGTAGTAGTATTTGGCACTTAAGCTGTTCTTATGCCCATAAAACACCTGATATTGGATGGTACAAATTTGGGTCTTAGGTTCTTTGCAGTTGTTCTTCAGATCATCTCCCACATATTGCTTGTAGCTATTCTGTTATGGAAGAATTGAAAGGCCTGTGTATAAGAAAAATGGAATCAATGGGTCAGGGACCATTTTTTACTAGGGGTGAAGTCTGGAGCTACCTAGAGAGAAAATATGGCAATCACTTCTGCAAGCTTATATCTCCTGCCAACATCCCATTTTGAAATTCCTTTAGTGCAATATTTTTGTGCATTGCTGAGGATTTTTGCAGGCTGCTGAGGGCGTGTTATGTCAAGAGTGCTGTTTTGAATACAGGCAATACCTGTGACTAGAAAAAGTGTTGCCGACATTGATCTGGTTAGGCACTGTGTTGATGTTGTAGGTTCAGAAGAGGATATGGTGGCCAGTAAAACTGATCCTCAGGCAGTTGTGCCTGTCAGCAACTCTCCTTGGGTGTCTAAGGGATCTGCACTGGCACTTCAGACTGCAATGAGTCTCATCTCCATGACATCACCTCGAAACTTCCAGCTCCGCAGCACTGCTTTGGCTCCATCGTTTGTGGAGTTTGACATGTCCATGGAAGGCTATGGGTATTGTTGCTGTTGCTTTTTTCTTTAGCTGCCCTGCAGTCTCCGAGCCCTTACTCTGGACACAGTAACTACTGACTTCTCTCTTCATCTTAATCTACATGCCCTATCACTGCCTTCCTTGCAGCAGTGTTACCAACCTATTTTGTTACTGGCTTATTGATGATAGCCTATTCTTCTCCTTGCTACCATGCTGTATGAAGTCACTGGTGACCTTCAGGGATGGTTTTATGTTTCTAATGTGCTTTCTTGCTTTTGTAGGTGTTTATACCTCCCAACCTTGGCTACTGTCATGGGACCCAGTGCAGACCAATCTGTCTCAGGAGGAATTGGCATGGGTAAGCACTTTGACTCACCTTCAACTTCCTGAAAACACTGACTTTTCAGCCCACTGAAAGCATTCAGCATTTGTAAGAAATTGTGTGCTTCAAAACATTTCCATCTCTGTGTCCCAGACCAGCTCTGAACTGTGTAACTCAGACTGCTCATCAAAATGCAGTATCAGGTGCAGCTCAATAGTGTGATGAATTAGCATTAACATTAGCAATACAAATTTAAAGCAGGCTGCTAAGAAAACAATCCTAACAAGTACGAGCCACCAGATTTTAGGGTAATCTCCCATGGAAGTAGTAAGAACTGTCACTTAATGGGATTCTCCTATAGTTCTAAGTCCCCTACTGGGTGGACTGGAAAATGGCTGGACCTTTTGCTTCCAGAACTTTTGTGAAACTTGATAAAACTTGAATTTGGTTCAGTGCTTCCTAATTGATGAGCTCCATAACATAGTTTCTCATCAGTCAATTTTAGGTCATTTATACACATGCACAGACTCATATGTGCAGGCTCTAGATACTGAACACAGGCAGAGAAATTTAATAGAACAGAAGTTAAACCTCATAATCTCATGCTGGCTCTTCCATGGTTTGGACTACAAATGAAACAGAAAGCATTTGCTAATGGCTGTACAAGGAAAACAACTTCCTTACTGCCTTTTTGTTTTCTATATACAGGCACCAGAATGTTCCCTCCCTCAAGTGGCCTGACACTCTGCTGCTGGTTTCTGGTTAGCAAGTTTGGTTTGGTGCACGACAATCACCCACTCCGTTTCCTTACTGTCGTGAGGCACATGTCAAGAACAGAACAAGAATCTGTTTGCTTTTCTGTAAGCTTCTTCCCACAGGACCTTTCTTTGGTCATTTCCACAGAAGAAGTGGAATTTCAGCCTCTTGGTAAGGTTCTTTTTAGTTAAGCTGCAGTGCTGCATCCTCTGATTATCTGGAATTTTTAATTAACAAATTTTCCTCTTCTTTTAAGTGCCCAGGATATCAGTGAAACTTACTCTTCAGTTTTCCTCTCGCAGACTGTTGTGACTGTAATTCTTGGCCATATTTCAGTTTTAAGTTTGCAATAGGCATTGAGAATTACTTTGTGGCTTGCAATATTTAATGGAAAACTTCTGAATGTCAGTTACATGGTTGTGTGCAGCTGTGGAGACCGGGCTTGAACCAGCTGTTCCCTGCCCGTCCTGTGTGACATTAGGCAGGTTTGGAGAGTAGGACTGAAGATTTGGGGAATGATCTATCTTCCTAATCAAACAACTCATTTCCTCTGCTCACTTTCAGAATGTTTTCTATTATGCCAGCCTGTGGGTTTTTTCCCCCTCTTGATATTTATACCTTTTTTTCTGACTGAGTAGAGTAGATAATTCATATGTAAATGTGATTGAATATTCCAGAGGAGTTTGAGAATGGAGTGTGAATAGTAACTGAGATTTTTTTCATTCACAGCTGACATTGTGTGAGTGTTCTGATTGCCCTAGATGATGTTAAAAATTCCATCTTGCCTCTTTTCATAAAACCTACAAATTTGTATACAGTTTTATCATCTCATGAATTTGCTAGGAATTTTTTCCTGTGTCAGCTAACTCAGTGAATATCCTGAGGGGTTCTTCTCTTAGAGAATATGTTGTCTTTGTCCTAGTTCAGTCTGGTTTTGTGGCACTGAGGCAGCTAGCAGATGTTATTTGAGAGGGACCTTGAGTATTGTGCATGTCTTAGGTACTGATAATAGACCTTGAGGGATCAAGACGTTGTACAGAATGGCATCAAATCACACTCTACTCACAGAGAGTCATGTTCTTTCTGTCACACTTGGTCATTGTATTCCAGAGGCAGGGGAAGGTGAGAGACTTTATGTTGACTTACCCCTGTTTTTTGCTATTACAGACATTATGGAACCTGAGGGTGAGGCCCTAAATCCCTCCCCATTTCCAGGGCAAGTCCAGTTTGGCTGTGGCAATCTGCTGGTCACTGGCCAGTGGCATCATCTCACAGTGACAGTCGCTAAGGAAGCAAAGAAGAGCTGTATTGTTTCAGCTTATATAAATGGTCAGATGCTTGGCTATGCAAAGGTAAAGGCTCTTGGCATAGATCTTGTACGTGACATTTGTCTTTCATTGCTTTTCATTTTCGTCTCCCAATGCACATACCATGACTTTTCAGTATTAATCTGAGAAACTCAAAGCATGGTGATTTGCACATATAATATGTGCCACTGTGCTGGGTGTGAGTGGAGTCAGAAATCCACACAAAACAGGGTGTATTTGTGCTGCTTTTCAGAACTATGTTTTCAGCTTATACTGATGCTTTGAACTACTTCCTCCCACCCAACTCTCAGCCCCAGCATGTAGATAACCAGGGCAATTTTGAGTGGTGATGCTCATCTGAGAGTTGGGCTTACTTAGGTTGCAGATACCTCAGGATGATGCTGATGAAATTCAGTTATACACTTAGGCCAAAATTTTCTGAGTTCATTATTGATTTTGAGGATCTATCAGTTTAAACACAAGATTTGCAGAAGTTGCCAGCTATAAAAAGTGGATCACATTTAGGTGTGACCAAAGAACCCTAAACCAGAGATGCTTTGGATTTAGGCTAAACCTGCAAAGGTGATGAGTAATTTAGGGAGTTCTTTTGAAGAAAGGCTTGGAAAAGGAGAAAGGTCAGGCAGAAATAAGCTTCCAGGACTGGCCAGCTCTTTGGAAGAATCCAAAGATGGGAGGAATTTCTTTAAGCATCTTACATGGGCATGTTTCAAGCTGTCCTCATCCTGTTAGACCCATTGAACAATCAGCTGATGAGTCAGTGGTCTTTTTTCCCTTAGTGGTCTTATTTCTCTTAGTGCACTAAGCATTCAGGAACAGATAGATGTTCCTTTGGGCTAGTTATTTAGCATGTGAGATGATACCAACTCATGAGTTCATTGCAAATATTGGTGTACTGGTAGTAATGTGCCATTTCTTGTGGTCTTGTTGCACAGCAGTCAGTTCTCAGGCTGCATGAAATATTAAGAGAAAGCAACCCAAATGCACCTGAAGGGTTCATGATCTAGAGGTTAAGCCTTCGGGTTATATTATCAGTATCATCATGTTCCTGATTTTTAAGCTAATCTCAAGTTATTTCAGACATCTGATTTTTGGATTTTGAATGCTGGAAGCTGGCAGTGTTGCAAATGCTGCCTATTTCTGTTGCAGCTTTGGCTGGTGTGATGGGTTTTTGAGTTTGTTTTTGAATAGAATCCTTTGATTAATTGCAGCTTGCAACCTTGGTCTCTTCCTTCTTGTTCCCATATTTCAATTCAATCTCAGTGCATGCAAAGCTCACTTGTGTGTTTTATACTTCCCGTGTAAACACAACCTGTTTAATTCCAAATATACTCTTTC